GTCATTCAGGGTATATGTCACTTCAACACGGATATGTTCTGTGCATTTAACATTTCAATGTTATGATATACCGGAACTCTGAATCATCAGTGTTCAATTTTCTAAAATCTATGAAAATATCAATTGCATTAATAATCCCTTTATCGTTAAAATATGTCATGTCTTTTTAATACAGTTCACTCTGAAATGTTCAGTGCCTTGATCGCCTATTCGTAGATGAATAATCCGAGTGATTTAGCACCCATTATAAGTGAGTGTGGCTTCAGTAATTAAGTGAAATCACCGCCACCTTGAAACGATACTCAAAGTATACATATTCTGATACAGTTTACCATTTGTCCTCTTACAGTTATTGGAGTTGTAGGTCACTTCAAGGCAGAAACGCCGTATGCATCTACCATTGAAATGTTAAAATGATCCGACCATCTGAATCATCAGTGCTCAATTTTCTAAAAGCTTTAAAATATAAACTTATTGATATGTTTATTGTTGAAAAAGAATTGAACCATTTTTAGATCATTGTATAAATACCATTTTCTTAACTGAGTGCCTCGATCGTATACGATCATTATTTGCAATTCTGGATGATGATAGTGCTGGCTTTATCCCTTGACTCCCATAAAGCTAAGCTTGAAGTTTACCTTACGTTGAATTTTTATTCAGACCATAATAAATAATGTTCAGTGAACATTTTACTATACATATGCAATCCATGGAATTATTATACTCTTAGGTCATAAATAAATGCTTTGTCACAATATTATTTCATTTATTGTCGTGACATTTAATAATAAAGATTAACTATACAAATTTTGAAATATCAAACTGTAAGTTAACAATATTATTTCATTTATTGTCGTGACATTTAATAATAAAGATTAACTATACAAATTTAGAAATATCAAACTGTAAGTTATACGCATATCTACCTGAGGGACCGTTGTATATCTCACGAGGGATGAACTCCATATCCAAACCGACCGTACATAACTGCTTTATCCTATACCAAGTAGAGTTTTCAGGGGCATACGGCCATTTCAATAGTACAAGGTGTAAAAATAAACAAATCAAGTCATTTTATTGCATTACCGGAAGCGGGAAGATATGCACCGGAAGCGGGAAGATATGCACCGAAGCGGGAGATATGGCGGGAGATATGGAGGTTCTGGATATGGAAACCTCAAAATCAGGATACGGGATATATCTTACCAACTTATCTCCCTAAAACTCTACTTGGCATAGGATAAATGTATTTATTATGCAATATTCATATCACATTAGGTGCAATATATGTATTTAATATAATGATTGACAATATCATGAACTGCTTATTTATGCCAAACTGATTAACCAGACTGAATTTATATCATTGGTTAATAATGTATAAATTTTTACCAGGGACATTTTTTGTCTCTGTCTTTATGAATGTTGACCCAAGCTGCCCATTGGGGGTAGTAATGGGTGACACTCAGATCTAATGTATACTGTGTCTCATAAGTCGGCACCGGCTGGTGATGTTACAAAATGTTGTTTTTATTATGTATTTTATATGTATATTGTAATATCAGTGACACAAAAATAAACTATTTTAAACTAAAACTAAACTAACTAGTTAAAAACAGTAAAAAACAGTAACATGACAAAAGGCAACTAATTACAAAAATCTTACAACGACTGCCAGTCACAAGAATGAGAAAAATTTCAAGGCCTATAATCAACCCTGCTATAATACAGAAATCACAGAATATTATGGCGTGTAGATTGAAGCATTTTAAACGTAATGGTAATGGTTATTTCAAAAATTTACATACTAATGTAGCTTCATATCTTACATAATAGGAGCCATATCGAACTAACCCTGCGGTGTCAATTAATACTACAACTCCATTACACAGAATTGCAAATAATGACGTGGTAGATCGAGGCACTTCACATTTTAAATGTAATGGTATTAAAAACAATAACCTAAAAGCCATGAGTTATTTCGAAAACAAACATATTAATGTGCATGATATTTTCATAGATTTCCAAAATATGAGAACTGATGATTCATAGGTCCAGATAACGATAACTTGGAAATGTTAAATGCATAAAAAATATCCTCGTTGAAGTGACCTATCACCTGAATGACCTATGAAGACCTCTGAATAATTAAATGACTTTTACAACGAATTAATGATGATACGATAGGATAATATTAGTGTGCTTAAAAATAACTGCGATAACGAAAGGTATTGAGCTCAAAGTAGTGCCAGTGCTACTGTTGAAGTTTACAAAATTATTATGTTTAATGCAGAACAAGTAGGGCTATACACTGGTTTACATAACAAAATTATAACATAAAATAAAAGTGCAAAAAGCAAAAATTCAATTTTTGTGATAACTGTCTAACTGTAGATTTTATGGGTATCTTGTGATTTCGGATTGTTACGCCTTTGTATTTAATAAAGTGTATTTTAATTAATATTGTCTTTTGCTACTGTCTTTATGCTGCAGGTGTTCTAGATTTGCTTTCTTCTCGGAATAAAGTGGAATTGTTTAGGATTCGCAGCTTATTCATATAAGTATGATTATGTGACGTTCTCCAGTGTTTATTTACCCCTCTACAATAATTTTCACTGCGCTGATTGGTTGTTTGCTAATAAGAACAGCCAATGGCGTAATGAAATGAATTAACATCGTCAATTGCGTGACTCACTAGATCTTCTAAAAACCATGAAAATATCAACTACACTAATCTGTTTACTGCTAAAATATCTGATGCCGTTTGAATAATTGTATTTTTAATGCATTCCCCTTTTAAAATACTAGATGCCTTGATCGTCTACTTGTGGAGGGATAATTTAATTTGACACCCACTATAAGCGAGTTCGGCCATAGTAATTAAATTAAATCATAACATTACACTTACACTTTACACAAAGTATAAAAATATTCTGATATGCTGTTGTTCTTTAATGATTATGATTATACAGGGTAGACTCACTATATTAAATGTATCTATTGACTTTTTAATTTTTGGTTAAACAGTTTGCGCATATAAACCATGTTGCATTGCGTTTATCATTGAAGTGTTATAATGACCTCCGAATAATCAGGGTTCAGTTTTCTAATAGCTATTAAATTTGAGATATTTATGAAACTAAGCCGTTTCGGGACTTCAAATTATACCCATATGCGCCGTTGACATGATTGACATGATATGATATGAATTGTCCCATAAGTGACGTATGAAATATCCAATATTAAAATTCAAGAATGATCATTAACCTCCACACCAAACGCACATTTCTGCCGCACCAAATATTTCCCACAGGCTCTGTCTGCATTGGGTGTATATGCGGCCATTATAATTACAGTAATATTTTGTAAAATTAATCTTAACGTTTGCTTTATTTTGTATTATTATGAAATAATAGGAAGGTTAAGATACACGTTCTTATTAAAACTCTGTGGATTAGTTCTCTCATTTTGTACTTTCTCCTTGGCCAATTGAGTATAAAGGTATAAATTAATTGTAATTAGATAATAAGGTTCCTGGAAAAGTATCCTACTCTGAGATGTATGTATGTTTACGATGGTTATACGATGATGTCGTAAAGCATTAGGTCCTTACACAAATCCTGTATGCTTGAATGTTTGTTTATAATGGGTTGTAAATGAAGTGAATATTGGATTAGGACAGTGCCCGTCACCTTTGACTACGTCGTAACGCAGTAGGTTCTTAGACAAATCCTGTATGCTTGAATGTTTGTTTTAGTGGATTCGTAAATGAAGATATTAGTAGATTGGGAAAATGCCCGTAACCTTCTACTACGTCGTAACACAGTAGATCCTTAGACAAATCCTGTATGCTTGAATGTTTGTTTTAGTGGATTCGTAAATGAAGTGAATAGTGGATTGGGAAAATGCCCGTAACCTTCGACTACGTTGTAACGCATTAGGTCCTTAGACAACTCCTGTATGCTTGAATGTTTGTTTGATTTGTAAATGAAGTGAATATTCGATTAGGAAAATGCCCGTCACCTTCGACTACGTCGTAACGTAGTAGGTTCTTAGACAAATCCTGTATGCTTGAATGTTTGTTTATGGTGGATTTGTAATTGAAGTGAATAGTGGATTAGACAATGCCCGTCACCTTCGACTACGTCGTAACGAATTAGGTTCTTAGACAAATCCTGTATGCTTGAATGTTTGTTAATATAATGATTTGTAAATGAAGTGAATATTCGATTAGGAAAATGCCCGTCACCTTCGACTACGTCGTAACGCAGTAGGTTCTTAGACAAATCCTGTATGCTTGAATGTTTGTTAATATAATGATTTGTAAATGAAGTGAATATTCGATTAGGAAAATGCCCGTCACCTTCGACTACGTCGTAACGCAGTAGGTTCTTAGACAAATCCTCTATGCTTGAATGTTTGTTACTAGTGGATTTGTAATTGAAGTGAATAGTGGATCAGACAATGCCCGTCACCTTCGACTACGTCGTACCGCATTAGGTTCTTAGACAAATGCTGTATGCTTGAATGTTTGTTTATGGTGGATTTGTAAATTAAGTGAATAGTACATGGATTGGGATAATGTCCGTAACCTTCGACTACGCCGTAACGCAAAAGTCCCTTAGACAAAGAAATATTAGTTTATTGCAGAACAAGTCTAAATTCGTTTCAAATACTAAGACATAATTAGCATGGATGGAATAATAAAATAAAGTGCAAGAAGCTAAAACGTTGTAGGAAATGGATATTGGATGGAAGGTCATGCGTTTTAAGGACGTATATCTCTAGTTCATTATAAACTAAATTGAAGCACATTTGCATAGGACAGTGGGGATTTTTGCATTATTGGTTCACGTTTATTCAGATGCACTGGATTCTCGATAAGAATCATAAATACTTTGTTTTCAAATAATAAGCAAGAGATTAAGAGTCATATATTCTTAGTATTAGAAAATACAAGAGTGACATTAAATACAAATATAACAATATGTACTTACTTGTGCTTACTTGAGCTTGTGTTGCAGAAATAAACAACAAGCACCCGAGGAGTGTGAATATCCAAAGACTCGACATTTTCCGTTTAGATTGTTAATCGTGCGTTAACTGTCTAACTGTAGCTACCCTTTTATGTTTATCTCGTTCTTTTTTATTCAAATGTAGTGCCGTATGTATTTAATAACGTTTATCTCATTAATTGTTTGTATGCTGTAGTCGTTCTCTGTCTGCTTACTCCTTCGAATATATGAAATTGTTCAGTATTCCCAACTTATTCATATAATGATAATGTGCTTTTCTAAGTTCCACCTTCATTTACTCCTTTACAATTATGTTCACTGCGCTGATTGGTTACTTGCTAATGAGAACAGCCAATGACGTAATGAAAGAATTATTAAATGAATATAGTAGGCATTACATGTGTTATTGATCGATGAAAATCATTCATCATACTGGAAGGAATACATGACAAAAAATGAGTACTGTTGATCGAGTTTGCTGTTATCATGTACTAATTTAAGTCGATTCGATTCACTCGTTTGATCAGTTATTCATTTGAGTAGCTCAATTTACTAATTTCATCTGCCTTAAATATGTCACACGAATTAATGTTGGTGGGAATTTTAAGGAGGGGACGTTTTCAAGGTAAATTTCGTGCTATAGATGTCACCATTTTTTGGTTATATATATTTTACAAGTGGATCAAAGAGACCACGGCATGTGGGCAAGTCCATTATTTTATAGGGGTGGCAGGATATACACATATCAATTTCCACAAAGAAGAATGTCAGTAATGTAACTGAATGCATGGGGGTGAGATTCAGGCCCGTAGCAATTTTTCTACATTTTGAGCAGTGTACATGTGCTTTTGGGCAAAAGTTGTCATTGTTAAATGTGAGCCCTGGAATTTTTCAAAAAGTGACCCCATTGGTATTCCTGCCCGGCCTGACCTTCCTAAGAATTCTACCCCAGACGCACCGAGACATGCTTTGCCGATGATTGACAGAACAAAATTAAGATTCAAAATGGCACCAACAATGAATTGTGATGTGACACGTTTTGGTGTTAAAGTCCCCGTCTAGAGTTTGAAATTTTTTTTATCATTCATTTACTATTTCTCAGGACTTAAAAAGTGATTTTAGAGATTTTTGAACAAAAAAAATTTTGAAAAAAAAGTTGTGAGCAATTCATTTCTCAAATATTCAAATTTCCCGCCATTTTTCAAAAAAAGTTGAAATTTCTTAATCATCAAATATTTCTTAATGCATTTCAAAAAAGATTATCTTTTTAACACCAATGCAAAGATTGAACAAAGGACACACTATTTCAATAATAAAATGACATATTTAATTGGCCACTTCAATGTTTCAGCATATCGAAAATATTTTGAAACATTAGTGATGTCACTAAGGTAGCAAAAACTTTTTGAAATTTTAAAATTGAAATTTTTTTCCATGTGAATCTTTTCTAAATATGCTAGACTTTCATAAAAAACAATGTTGATTTAGAACCAGGTTAAAAGGAAGAATAAATTATGTTTAAGATATCATTGTACCAGTGGTTTCTATGAGAACTAAAATTTTGAAATGCATTTTTCTCAGAACCATTTTCATGCACTGATAAGTTCATTTTTTGCTTATTTATGAACCGATTTTCTGAATTTTTTCAGCAAAAAACATGGGAGGATAAATGTTATGCATTGTTATGAATTGTGGCTAATTAGAAGATATGAGTGATCTCTAATTGGTTTTAAATAAATTCACAAATTTTGGAACAAAAAGTCTATCAAAAACACTTTTTGAAATTAAAAAAAAAGTTTCACATATCACACTTTGATAACATTGGGTAAGACTACAATATAAGCCTAAGTGGTTTAAACTTTATATGGGGCCTTTAAAGAGATGATCGGACGGTTGTAATGTTCTCCTCTCCACGAAATTGTGGGGTAAAAAGAATCATGTACATCGTCCCATTATTTCCACATTGTTATAACTCACTTTTTGCAGGTTTTGAGATAAGTATACTATCTTTCTCAATTTTTCACGAGGAATTCATTTCTGAGGTCCATCTCAATGGATCTCATCTCCTTGCAGTGCCACATTGTTATAAGGGGGAAATGAGGAAAAACGTTTAGGCCCACCTTGTTATATCCACACCAGAGCCAATCAGATTACATAATTTTGATCATGTGACTAATAGTTATAACACTGTGGAAATAATGGGACAATCACTTACTAGTATACTTCAACCTCTGATTTCTCAATATCAGCAAAAATGAAATTATGACAATGTGGAAATAAGGGGATGACATTTTACTCTACCAATCTTTACATGATTCACAAATATCTAACAGTCAACATGTAGTTGTACCTACAATGTAACCTATAAGTCCCCCAGTCAAACAATCAAAAATAATTATGTTTTCATTAACGGCGGGCATTCACGCCTTCCTGATTACAGTATTATAATGTAGGCTGCTATTGAAGAATATAACACTATACCATTGTGTTAAGCCACACCCTCTCC